TCCGTCACACAGTCCCTTCATATGTCGACACAGGTAAACTCTACTTGCCCTGTCTCGAATGATCTTCAAGTCTGATGGGGTTGTCTTGACATCTGTGCTAACTTACGTTGATAAACTTTACAGTTTTTTTCTACACGCGCAAAGTTTACGGTTGTTTTCGGTAATTAGCTCTGTGTTGTCCTCCCTTTAACTTGGAATCTTCAAAATCTGCGCGAATGACGTCAGACGGTGCCAAAACCTGAATGAGTTCCTTCCTGTCAGATTTTTGCCAGACCCCCCCCCCTCCCAAAAAAAACTAAAGGGATTCCCCAAGGGTTTGATCTCAAACCGCCCGCATACCGCGCATGTCTCTAGCACTGCGGACGTGAGCCGCACGCTCAGTTCAAGGTCATCAGATTACAAGAACCCGGTCACGTGACAGGTCGAGGTGCGCCGGATGCGGGCATTGCATGACGGGTATTTAAAATTTACCACATTGAAAATGCGGGGATGTTCCGGATATGTAAATTTTCAATCCTCCTTTCAAATTAGCCCCACTTCGTTTTGCGGCATATCATAGCATTGAATTCGGATTGGCTTAATGAGCAATGACAAAAAACATGACTAATTTGCATAATTAGATGACCGAAAGCGAATTTTTAAAATCTCGTCAACTTCATAATTCATTTGTAATTGGATATGTGCGCGTGTGATCCATAACACTTGCAAACTGTGACGTGGGGGTATCAGCGGTGACGACATGTCATTTGCAATCTGGCAGATCATCAAATTTAATTAGGAGAAGCCACATTTAAAATTCTAAAATGAAAACTTGATACTTAAGACAATTTTCTAGACGTTTGACAGAAAACAGAGGCGAACATTTTTAAATGATTACACCATCTATTTTTTTAAAGATTCGCGTTCCGATATAGTGCTCACGTTAGTAGAAGTTAAAAAGTTTTGGGTCTTAATTTTTTTTGCAAAATTATATATATATATATATATATATATATATATATATATATATATATATATATATATATATATATATACATGCAATATTATATAGGCTACAAGTATAGCCTTAACGGTGTAGGGATATGCATATCGTACACTAAAATCGTCATCGACACCCCACCCCTTCATTCCTCTGGTTGATAAGGGCATCAAACATCCGTGATACGGCCAGTGCCCACCACACCCCGTGATTGGGCCTCAACACACCCCAGTGATAAGGACCCACCCTGTGATACAACCCCACCCCGGGCACACGGCCCCACCCTGGTGATACAGTCCGACCATACCCCGTGATATGGCCCCACCCCGGGCACACGGCCCTACTGATCAGTGTATTTTCCGTGTCTCCCACCAAGCCGGATCGCCTTTAACAAGCCGGTTCTCTCAAACCACTCGCCGGTCGTCGCCGTGCCGGCAGTTCGAACGTCGTTTATCACGACCCTGTCCGGCCGGCCTGTCTGTGAAAGCGATAGCGGCCCCGGGTTGAAGGGTTAAGTGTGTAGTTTTAGTTCCTGCTGTCACAGACTCTAATCTTGCAGCGAGCTTACTTAGGTAGGTGCCGTCACCCCCCCCCCCCCTCCTTCCTTTCTAACGGCAAGTGGAGGGGTGGGGCGACATATCATAGTATTGATGTTTTTTTTATTGCTGTAAGTTTACAAGATAAAGGCAAGGAAATTGTCTAGCCTTTTTGTGCATGAGAAAAAATATAAACTCGGTCATTTGTCGTGATGGCCCAATACATCTGTGTTATTCTTAGTGCGAAAAAGCATATATATATATATATATATATATATATATATATATATATATATATATATATATATATATATATATATATATATATATATATATATATATATAGGCCTACATATAGTTTATCAAGTCATTAAGCATCCTATAATACATTCGATCTCCCAGCGCCCGATATCTTGACTACAAGGAAGCTTCTAGATTAAAAATATCACCACGTTTTTACCGATAAATCACCAGCCTATATTCAATTATCCGGGTGGGCAAGTTGCTTCCATAAGCAAACATCAAATTGTTTGATGTTAGCGACATCGGATCGTAATATTAGAACTTGTGCCGGAGTCACGCCCATTTAATCAATCGCCCACCGGAAATTCAATTCATTGCCCCATCGGTTTTCTGATAGTTGATCTAGTAATGAGCTTATAATATAGATTGGCTGAATCTACACACTCAGAAAATAAACATAAAATACACATAAAATACACATAAAATAAACGTAAAATACACATAAAATACACATTCAATTTTGTTCGCGAAAATTGGAGTTAAGATTTGAAAACTTTTGAGAACTGACGAGACAAAATCACGCGATATGTAAGTTTAGTCTCCGAGATGACGCGAGAATCTGCGATAACAATTGCTGAAATCAAGTTCAGATGAGATGTACTCAGCTGCCCAGATACAAGTGACGTCACTCACAAAACCTGTGGACTGACGGTTGGATGACGTCACTCACTGGGGACTGACGGTTGGGTGACGTCAAACTTAACATTCCCTATCTCCAGGTTTCGAGATAGCTGTCCGAAATCGAGACTTTCGGGTTATAAATCTAGTACTCTACCGTACGACCACGCCGTCCCATGATGTGCTTGATTAATAAAATAAGTGAAACTGTTGGGGTATGGTAACCTGTACGAAACAATGGCATACTGATGACTTGACGATGACATAACGATAACATCTGTTGACATGCCTGATGACATGCCTGATGACATGCTGCTAATGAACAACGTAGTCAACACTTTCGTGTCGTCACTAGTGACCTATCGGCCATGATGAACTATCAGCCCTGATGACCAATCGGCCCTGATGACCTATCGGCCCTGATGACCTATCGGCCATGATGACCTATCAACACTAAAGACCTAAAGTAATGATGACCTAACAACAGTGGTAAACTGATGCGAGTGGACGGTAAAAGTAAAACGACGACCTGGTATGCTTACTTCTGGCAGACGAAGACACGACGACAAACAAGCCTGGGGGGGGGGGGGGAGAGGAGAGAGGGAGCTACTGTTTAAGTTTACATAACTCGTTAGAGTCGAGGCAAGGGCCGCAAGCCACTATCGTACTGACATAAAGGGCCGCAAGCCACTATCGTACTGACATAAAGGGCCGCAAGCCACTATCGTACTGACATTTGACTGGGGGAAGAATTTAAAGGACCTCCAAAGATGTGGTGGACAGGAAAGTAATTAGTCGAGAGTAATTAGTCGTTTAATGAGCATAAATGTCTGGAGTGAATGGTTTACATTGGGGGTCTGAGATGGGGGTGGGGGGGGGGGGGGTACTTTTGACTGGTTGGAATTTTGACATCTTCCACCAAAAGTGTGGTTAAAGTGGTGACATCTTCCACCAAAAGTGAAGACTGGGAGCAGAGAAGAGACACGTTACACAGACAAAGGAGTGGCAAGGCTGCTGTTTGAAGATTTTGTAAGATTTTACCGATGTCGGTAAATATTTCATAGAATTGACAAATGTCATGATTGTATGACCGTAGGCAGAAAATAACGACAAATGTCATGGTTATCATGGTAGGCAAACAGCTGACAGCAAAAGTCATGATTGTGTGACGGTGGACAGACAAATGACAGCAAATGTCATGACGGCAAGCCGATATTTGCATTGTATTTTTCAATGGTATTACAGTGATATCCAACCTATTTAGCATAATAACAGTGGTTCGGTTATGTGCTGTCTGGGAGGAGGGGGGGGTGAGGGGGTTATGAGCAAACACATACATTAAAATATTCTACCACACTGCAGATGTTGGACCATAGTAGTGACGTCATGGAGTGGTGTGGTCAGAGAGTGAAACTTGCTTATCTTTCTTGTCTATCCCATTGACACGTGCGCAGGATTTGAACCTGGATCACGGATTAAAGACACACGGATTAAAGACACACGGATTAAAGACACGGATTCTTTCTTTAAAGATCGAATCCTTGAGGTGAATGTCTTGAACCACGCCGAGAGTGCACACGGTCTTTAGCAGAAGGGTTTCCTTGTTTGAAGTTTTGGGGAGCACTTAGTGAGAGGTACACGTTGAGGGGGTATGGTTGGTGGGGGTGGGGATGAAATAGGTGGGGTTGGGGGAATGAATGAAGTGGGGTTGTGGGGGGGGGGTAATTAGGTGAGGGGGTTGGAATAGGTGGGGGGTATAATAGATGTAGGTGCAAGGGGATGAAAGAGTGAGGGGGTAAATAGGTGGGGGTTTAGGGATGAAATAGTTGGGGTGGGGAGATGGAATAGGTGGGGTGAGGCTTGTCTGTGTGATCTTGCTAACAAAACTCGGTGATATCCAGAAAGTCATGTGCTAAAACTGGTTAGACGCCGCGTCATAACTTAGGGCACATTAAAAGACTCCGCAATTGAAACCGTCAAATAAATGAAGTGGAGGGTTGAAATGAGTTTTTATTTTATTATCTAAACAGGCGACGTCAGATATCAAATAAGACGGGGAAGTAGGGGGGTGAGGGGGGAGGGGTAGAAGGGAGTGAGGGAGGGGGGGCTGTATAATAAACTTGGTAGTGCCCGGATGTTGTCAGCTATCTAGACACGTGATCTATCCATCACGTGGGACGAGTTATGGTGAACAGGTGGGTCAGTGTCAGATACTGCTGGGGTTGTCACAGGGATGGGGGTGGTAGAGGTGGGGGTGTTAAAGGGGGGGGGGGCTACAGGTGGGTGGGTAGTACATGTATGTGGGGGTGGTGGTACAGGTGGATGGGGGTGGTACAGGTAGGAGAGGGTGGAACATGTATGTGGGGGTGGTTCAGGTGGTGGGGGTACAGGTGGGTGGGATGGGAAATGGGGGTTGGCTAATACAGAGGATTGGGGGTACAAATGGTGGTACAGGGGTAAGGTCTCTCAAATGTGTGTGGGAGGTGGTCATGTGATCTCAGAGCTTGAGAAAATGTTTGTGTTAGCTCAGAGAGCGGGAGTTGAAAGAAGTTGTGGTGACTTACCCCACGCCAGCAGAGCGCCCACGATACACCACGCCCGCGAGGTAATCCAACTCAAGGAAAACATTGTTTGTCTGAAGGTACAGTCAACATTTTACGTAAACAAATCACAAAGGGAAACCACTGCCGCCACAAGTCGTCAAACACCGGACAGTGCCTACGTTGTGCGCATGACAGCGGGTTTTGAGGATGTGACGTAGAACAGGCCTGTTTTTTGGGGTCCGAACAGCTACATGAAGCCCTGGCCTGTTCGTTAGTTTGGACAGATAGTCCTAGGCTGTTTGTGGGGATTCGAACAGCGCTACATATCCGCAGGTACCAACCAGCTGACAGAAGAGATGGCTGGAGTTCTGGAGTTTCCAGCTACCAGAACGTGTGGCTCTCAAATTTTGTCACCGGAACACGTCTAAAGAAAAGGAAAAAAATTAAAATATTTGTTATTAATTATTTAAGGAAAACATTTCAAGCAAATTGAAACTTTTATTATGTAGACCTAACTGCTTAATAATATATGCTAATCATAAAATGTCAAGTAAAAAGTTTAAATATACAGATGTATGATGTTTATAAGCCTAAGTTAATACTAAATTGTTTCACATCGTAAACAAATGCGTATATATATATATATATATATATATATATATATATATATATATATATATAGGTTTAAGCTATGAAAAGATATGTTAAACGCTGCTGTATCTATCGAAGACGAATAATTAGTGAAGAAGACAGATATATTTCTACTTACACAGTTATTGTCTTAAACTCGGACCTTTCTTAAAGCCCAAACACACGGGCGCACGACGCGACAGGGACCTAAGTCAACAGCCCTCCCTGACATTTACGGCCCACCAGCCCGTAAACCTAAGCCAACAAAACCGGTACCTTTCGCGGGATTCCGCCGGGGCCTTGTTGCGCGCTTCGTGCGCAAACTGCGGGATTACCCGATTATGATTGCGTTGACAAGGCGAGCCCGGTGTATCCGCACGGCGAGGTACTTAGAGTTTTAAGACAAAATAATCGCCGGCAAACACTCGAGGATCGCAGCCCACGGAAATGTTATCGCAGGGCAGGAACGATAACTCCATTAAAATAGTTTCGTCACCAAGGGCAGTAAGCACTTGACATTTGATCAGCTATCTAAAGTATTGCATAAATCAATGGTTGTTTTCAGAATCGCATATCAGAAATATGTTTTTTTAATGTTATGCAAACATTATTTTTTTTAATTTATTTTTAAAGTAAAATATTATGACGTTGAGAAGGGTTGAGTATTTAATTTATAGAGGAGATCGAAGGGGTGTGTGTGTGGGGGGGGGAGGGGGGCAGAAAAATAGGAGTGGTTATGTGGAGGTCAACAAATAATTGAAAGGGAGACTCAGACGGGAGGATAAGAGAACTTTCAGACTAATATGCGAGGTTGGGGGGGCAATATATAAGTAGTGTATAATACGTGAGCGGGAGGGGGGGGGGCAATATATAAGTGGTATTTAATATGCGAGGGGGGGGGCAAATTATTAGTAGTATATAGAAGCGGATGAGTGTGGGAGTGAACGTGCCATATAGACACTCAAACCCCCACCCCACCCCCCGTCTCTCAGCTAATCGCGTCCTGTCTCTGGCCAGATAATCCACTTAAGCACCAGACGGCTGACCTAATTGTCATTAACGTTAACTCCACGCAATGGGATCCTGGCTTACAAGTCAGTCGAAACATTCTGGAAGTTTCCTCAAAACTCGGCCCCTGGGGAAATCTACTGGCTGCTGCCACACACAGCTCTGGGCCAAGGTAGATTGGGGGCCATCTAGTGGGGGCGGTTAGTGGGCCATTTGGTGGGGGGATGTGGGCCATCTTGGGGAAGGGTTAGTGGGCCAGTTGGCCAAATGGTGTAGGCATTTAGTGGGCCAGTTGTTCTTATTGTGTAGGCATTTAGTGGGCCAGTTGGTAGGGCGGTTAGTGGCCCATTTTGGGGAAGGGTTAGTGGGACATCGGGGGGAGGGGGGGGGAAGGAGGTTAGTGGGCCAGTTGGCCATCTGATGAGGGGCCATTTGGTTGAACAGACTTTCATCCAAAATAGTCATGTCGCATGCCACAGCAACCAAATAAATACATTCGAATTCTGCTCACTGTTTTGCTTTTTTTTTCTCAACTTCCCATGAATCAAATGACAACCCAACTCTCACAAATCACCTGATATCATCCCAATATCCACGACTTACGTGACAATCAATTTCCCACAAACCATGTGAAAATAATTTTTTTCACAAATCACGCACAATCAAGTTCCCACGGGTCACGTAACAATCAAGTTCCCACGTTTGTTACATCAGTGTACACTATTTCCCCACGTTTCACACAATCGGGTTCCAATCGTCTTTAGCGTGAACATGCTCACGTGAATGTCGCCGCTCACCCCCCCCCCCCCCCACCCCCAACTCTCCATTGATGTTGAAGAAACATGGACGCTCATCAATTAATTATAATTATATTCTTCATATTTATTTTTATGGACACATTTCCCGTGTCAATGTCAAGATTGATCAGAACAAAACATTTAAAAAATTGTTTTCATATTTGATTTCTTTTGTTGCTCCTAAAAAATAAATATGGCAGTCTCATTTATCAGATGGGGTTTTTCTTAGGTTGAAAGATGATTTTTTTTTTCTGTTAAAGGGGGACAATTTAAAGGACATGGCATGATCTGCCTTTACTGTGTTGTTACATGTTCTGTATGTTGGGTATATTTAGACCCGTACTTCGTGGTCTAAATGTCAACAAACACGACAACACGAACATTAACTATTCAGTAGTTCTTGCCTTCTCTCCTTTTTGTTTCTGTGGCCTTCTTCTATACTTCATTTTGTCCCTTTTGTTTTATTTTTCCCCTTATTAATCAAGCTTTGAGAGAGATTAACAGTTTAATATCTTCCGACAATGGGCCAAGATGGCGGCTTATGATGTCATCGGGGCGGCAAAAAGTGGTCACGTGAGATCACATGACCTCGTGAGGTGAGAGTTATCTTCCCCTAGTCTTGGGTCGGGTTGCCATAGCTGTTGATTGACAAAATATTTTCAGGAATCTATTACGTGACGTGATTTTATCCATCACGTATTTAGTATATTCTTACATTTAGCTGAGCAGCCATGCGCACTCATTAATTAGTTATTTTAACTAATTAAACTTGTACTGGCGTTAAAATAAATTATCTTAATAAAGAAATAATGTCTGAAAGTCTCGTGTAGACAGACAACAGCAAACTGCTTCATCTTTCGTTGGATCCTACACAGACATTTTTTGTCTTCGGCAGACAAATTTATTCTCGCCTGTACCTCGGCTAGATTGAAAAGTTAATTTGTCGCTGGGAAATGCATGTCGGTATAGATGTCGTTTTTTGTTCTATCGCGCGCATGTGCAGCAATGTAGGCCAATCGAGATTCTCAAATCTGCCCAATAAATTGATCTAATTGCGAATTTCGAGGCGTCGGTGGGGTGGGGGAGGGGTCGTAGCTGGATTCTCGGGGAAGGGGTCTTACCTCGATATTGAGGGTAGGAGATAGGGAGGGGAAGGGGTGAATATATATATATATATATATATATATATATATATATATATATATATATATATATATATATATGTGTGTCTGTGTTTGTGTCTATGTATGTGTATATGCGCGCTTTTATGTATGTGATTGTGTACTTGTTCCTAGCATTATACGTAAAATGAATAATGTAGAAAAAAGACAAAGCAACCAGTCACCATTGTATATGGCTATATCTGTCATTCTTTGAATGATAGTCCTGCGCCAAGGGAAGATAATCCCACGTCTCATATAAGCATACAGAATACCGCGCAAAGGGAGGTGAATCACACTCGCGGGTTTACCTCATTACTCTGATTCTTAATGCAAACAAGGTTATGGCCCTTCGGCAAATATCGTTGGTCAGATTAGCAGTTCACCTTGACCCACATAATTATGATTTCCACATTAGTGCCGTGGAAGAGGGGGAAGGGGGGGGGTACGGTCATGCCACCTGAAGGGCCGTCAAAGCTGGTGATGACCACTGTGACGTGTTTAGCAGACGCTCATTAGTGGCTAATTTATGGAGGGGCAGTCTCGCCAGTCTGTTGGCCGGTCATATACGACACGATGTTATATATCTATATAGATAGGCTATAAATATATAGGCTATATGTAGGCTTATATATATATATATATATATATATATATATATATATATATATATATATATATATATATACTAATATATAAAAGACCTTGTGCGCACTTCTTTCTATCTGTCTCTCTCTTGGTCCGCAAAATATTTTCACGGCTTTGATATCAGTATCTTCGGCGATATATGGAGAACTTGATACGGACTTTTGTTAAAAATAATATGCTGGATGTTTTAAAGGTATAAACTGAATTTTATTTAAAGAAGGAAAATAAAAATAAATGCATATTCAAATGTAAAAAAACACGTTTGATTATACAACTGGAAAAGTGTTTATAGTAGTGACAAGAACGCAAAAAAAACAATGACGTCACATATCACAAGGTTAAACTACGGAAAGTATAAGAACATAAAACTAATGGCGTCATCTTCCAATTTTAGAATATGAAGAAATGAACTATTTCGTACAAATTTGATTTAGATCTATAGATCTACTTATCAAGACATACACTATGAAATGTATAAAATTTTCTAGGCCTAATATAATACAAATTACTTTAAAAACCAACATAAATACCATTGAACAGCCAGGTTTTTAACGGAATCATTTAAGTCTTTTAATCAGTGTGCCTATAATATGGTGTTGTGTTGATTAATAATGTATACAATTTGGTTTTTGTAATAAGTATTGGTAGCCTTTGTTATTTTAAATGTGCCCTAATTTTAGCTATTTCGATATTTCTTTTATTTTAAATGTGCCGGATTTTTAGCTTTTTAGTTTTTTCTTTGCTTTGTCACTCATATCTCAATGTATAATGTTGCGTTTTGGCCAATAACCATTTTATAAATTATTTTTTTCCAAAACGTATAACATTAAAAATATATAGGCCTATAATTCCCGTGTAACGGGTACCGACGGCTAGTATATATATAATGGAGTTGAGCGTTAACTAGGCAGCAGTAATCGCTCCCCTAGCCCACCACTCCACACACAACAGCTAGACAAATATTGAATATTCCCGGACCAGCTGACGTGGGACGTCGTACCTAGTTATCCGTCAGGCCATCCCACCCGGGCCACTCACTAATCCACACATCCCACACACGAACCCACACAAACCCCACACAAACCCCACACAAACCCCACACGACCCCCAGTAGGAACGATACCCGATACGGTCGCTCAAACAAGCCACTATTCAACAAACTAACCGGCGAATCAATGCCA